TCTAATCCTCTTCTATATTGTCACGTTTTTCAAAGGTGAAAATTAGTATAGGACTCAATCACCCAATGAGGATTTTGGTTTCTCACCAACATCAAAATTCCACTTATACCCGAAATGCCCGATCGAGTCGAACTACAACGAAGAGAGCACTGGGTATAAACAACCTTGTGTCTTCAAAGGCGGGTCAACCACTTCTTGGCAAAGCCTTTATACACGGGATGAAGCAGTGGGATGAAGCAACGATTTGGAAAGAAGTCCTAAAAATTTTCTCATTGTCTTCAACCCAAATCCCCTCGACTTATGAGAAATCCTCTAGCCAATATATTCCTGATCATCATCATTATTGCTATGATCTTTTTTTTTTCTCTAAACGTTTTTCCCTCGCCAAAAAGGTCGAAACCCCTCATATGTCGGTAGTTCAGAAATCAACGACTTAAGATACCACGAAAATAATCATAATATTCAGTCCCCTTTCTCTGTTCTCCTCTATCAAAAAAGACACGAGGAAGAACATTCCAGTTGAGAAAAGTCGAACTCGAAATAGCTCGAATGAGAAAAGGTTCAGAGGAAACACCGATAGATAGCATTGAAAAAAATGGCCATTGTGAATGGGCATTTTCATGAGTAGTTTTTGCGAAAATTGGTGCAGTTTTCAAAGCGTATTTCTAACTTTGAATAAAAACAAGCTAATAACAATAATATCTATCAATTCACATTCCCGGTCTATGTACACACTCGTCGAAATCAAAACAGATGAGTCAATTTTTTAAATTAAAAAAAGCTAGAGAAAATTTATGCATTTTTTAGAAAAATTTCTAGTTCTTGGAATCATCGAATGTTATTGTGGGGAAAAGTACTCCGAATTGGTGTTAGGGCATCACAATTAGTTAGAAAATGTCAACAGAAAAATCATTGAATGCATCTGTAAGGGATTGAACTGGAACTGTGAAATTCCATAATTAATGTTTTATATTCTGCCCTAGCAACGTTAAAATTTCCGTGCTAACAGTATAAGATTGCATCTATCATTATAACAACAATCTTTTCATTGCATAAATTTTTAGTTATAAAGATAATTAAAATATTATCCAGTCAGCACAGGAATTAGGGAATTATTTGTTGAAATATAAAAATTGAGCAGGGGATGAATGGAGGCACATTGTTTCCAACCATCCTATACAGTATAATGAGAATAATTATGAATAATTATGTTGGATTTCGGGGTTTTCCCCGAGATCAAAATTCACTCTCCCAAGTTCTTTTATGTTAAGGAAAGGTTTATTGCTTTATGTTGCTATGGGGTCTTCCCTGAAAGTGTAAAATGGGGAAAAGTCCTCTCGGGACGTTTACTGGTGGGTTTTTCCCAAATGTGGGTTTTTCCCACAAGTACACCTGGCGACCAGGCGGGTCAAGAGGAAAAGTCCGAGCGTTTGCTTCAGGGGGTGGAAATTATATTGCCCTCCTAGGTCTATAAACGCCCGGGGCCTCACTAGCAACCATCTTTAGTCTCCCGTAGATATTCATACTGTGAAGTGCCTCCTGACTGTGTAGAGTCTTAGAGATTTTTCAATTAAAGTCTTCACATAGATAAAAAATGTTTATGACGCTGAAGTTGGCAGCCGACTTGGCAGCGAAAGTTCAGGGCCGTAGCAAGGATCTGTGGGGCCCCATACCTTAATACGCAAACTGAAAATTGTTCCTATTTAAGTTCTAAATTCCGAAATGATCTGGAACAGCCTCCCCATTCTCCACAATATGATCAACCCCCTTTGTTCAGGCCAAGGGGGTGGTAGGGAGATGAAAATCTCAATTTTTGTCTTTTTTTTGGGAAGAAAAAATTTCTGCACCATAAATAGCCAGAACCACCAGCACATTGTTATAAAAAAAGATTAAACGAAACACCCTCGACCCCCAGGAAAATGATCAAGTCTTTCAGATTGGTCCAAGGGGGTGCTAGGGGGTGGAGAAATGAAATCTTCGCGTTTTTCAGGGGGAAAAAAATTCTCCGACTCATAATAAAAAAAAACACAAACAAATGTTAATGGAAAAATACTCAGTGCAACTCCCCCT